AGTTGTGGCAATGGAAGGAGGAGACAGAGAGAGGTGGAGCCCTGTCTGGCCCTCATCCCCCCAGTGTTCCCCAAGACCTTGGGGCTATAGGACTTGGGGGGACACCAGAGACCTAGAGGACAAGGGCTCAGTGCCTCAGCAAGGGCCCTCCTGATCAGGCCTAGACTTCCTTCCTGGCTTGGTTCTTGTGGTTCCCCAACGCTTTGCACTCGCAGTATTCTACATCTCCATTATTGCTTCCCCCAGTACCTCCAGCTCCGTGGGTCTCCCTCCCCACCATTGTGGGCATTGCCCCCTCTGTCTTGCGTCCTTCACTCTCTTTCTCTACTTGATGACTCCCTCCCAGTATCAACTCAACTCTCAACTCAACCTTCCCTGGGAAGCTGCCCCAGATTCCCCGGAGACCTTCCTCTCGCTTGGTGCACGGCCTACCCTCCATTATGGCATCCCCCCAGTGCGCTGTCTGTGCTTGCCCCCTGACTCCTACTACACTGTGCACGGTGTGACAGCAGGGCCGTTGCCCTCATCTTGGTATCTCCTGTAACCAGCACAATGCCTGGCTTGCTAAATGTTTGCTGAGAATGAATGAATGAATGAATGAATGAATGAATACACAAATTCTCCTCTTCCTCTCTCAGAAGATGATCCCACTTGCCCCTAGACTGAGATGATGTTCAGCCACTCTTTGGTGGATTTACTCCTTTCCCATCAGTTTCTCTGACTTTGGGTCTTGATAGCAGTGGTCAGTGAATTTATAAACCAGTTTGGCCACAGCAGCCCACAGCTGGGTTTCCACTTAATTCCCCCCCCCATTTCTCTTGTTGGCACAGCTGTGTTCCTTCAGATGTACCTTCAGTTCATCCTCCAGTTATTTCACCTTTCTGCTCCCATTACACCTGCTCTCAGTTTATCCAAAGGAAGCTTGATGGGGCAAGTAATTCCCAGCCTATTCTTCTCTGGTAGAGAAGAAAGTCAGCATTGTTAACTTTAATATGAACTTTAGAGCATTTCAGTAAAAGACATCTGTAGTCATGTGATTGCTTAGAACACTTAATGCTTAATTTCCTAAGTCTCAGTTGAACACGAGCTGTAACTGAGCTGAGACCCCAAGCCTATGGCAGTAAACCCAGCTTCACCTGGATTTGAGAGCTGCGGTCTGCAGAGCCCGAGAAATTACCTAAGGCTAGTGCATTATTCCTTTCTATGATTTTTTTGGTCTCCAATGGCCTACAGAGGCAGCTCAGAAAAGTTCTCAAAGAACACTTATTCAAGCTTTGTTACGTGTTTGGAATGAAGCCAATCAGCCCCATGAACTTCTGGTTTCCTCCTATTTTTCATGCAGTATCTTATCACAAGCGTTCAAGCTCTCAGAAAAAACTCAAATTAGGGTTTGCTGATGCTGAATCAAGTCTGTTTCAAAGCTCACCAAAATACCTACAGCTCACACACGAGATTTTTTTTAAAAAACTGATCTGCCCTCTGGAGACTCATTTACACGTGGCACTTCATAGGCACATGAATTTTTTTATAGTCTTAAGGGCTTTTGGTTGAGACTTCTATGTACTTTTTTTTCTTTTTCTTTTTTATTGAAGTATAGTCAGTTTACAATGTGTTGATCTCTGGTGTACAGCATAATAGTTCAGTCATACATATACATACATATATTCATCTTCATATTCTTTTTCATTATAGGTTACTACAAGATATTGAATATAGTTCCCTGTGCTATACAGTATAAACTTGTTGTTTATCTATTTTATATATAGTAATTATTATCTGCAAGTCTTGAACTCCCAATTTATCCCTTCCCACCCCCTTTCCCTCTGGTAACCATAAGTTTGTTTTCTATGTGAATCTGCTATGTACTTTTGACTTAAATTATTTTCCATCACAGATATTGCTTCTATGAGATAATTGTCTATGATTGTTCACTGTATTTCTGAATTTCTTTCAATAATAAATAATGAATAGTTACTTACCATTAAATACTCTCAAAAAAACTAAGGTTAAACTATTCCTGATAATGAATCTACAGGGTCTTTCAAATACAAGTATTTATGATAATAAAATCAGAGCCATAAATTAAGCAAGTGTCAAGTGCCCTTAGTCTTACAGTGAACAAAGACCACCTTCACTTCCTAAATCATATCATTAAGGAGACTTAAAAAGACTCAGGCATCATTAGCCTTCAATATCCTTGCAATACAGTGAAAGGAGGCAGACTTAGTTGCCACTGTCTTTTATTCATTTGCTACCATCCCTTCCCTGGTCTCCACACTTTCTTCCACAGAGGTCAAGAGACCCTCCTCCCAGCTCCTCCCCCACCAGCTCCAACTCTCACATCAGCAGCCCCTTCATGTTGCAGTCGCTTACCTACCCCTCTTAATCTGTCCCTCTCATCTGAATGTTTTAGCTGTTTCACTGTCACTCTTTTCAATATTGGGTTTGTCATACTTTTCAGTGATTTAAATGACCCCAAAGATAATCCTTCTCTGCACTGTTCCCTCTCAGATTCTGGGCCTTTTCTACTCTACTGATCTTGTCTTTTTTTTTTTTTAATTGAAGTACAGTGAGTTACAATGTGTCAGTTTCCAGTGTACAGCACAATGTCCCAGTCATGCAGGTACTTACATATATTCATTCGTTTTCATATTCTTTTCTGATCTTGTCTTTAACACAACCACAGCCACTCTCCCCCAGTGGACATGCCTTAGACTTTGTCATTACCAATGGCGGAACCCCCCATAACCTCGATTGCAAGCATCCCTCTTTCCAACCATCACTTGCTATGCTTGCAACTTACTGTCTCTACTGCTCTTATTCCAACAATCCTTTGGGCCCTCTGGATGTATAATTCACTGATCTTTCCCCACTTCCACCTCCTCATTTTACCTCTTGCTCATTTTCCTGGGTCCAGTCCTCATTTTCCTACTGCTCAGGTTCAATTCCAAGGTCCATTATTGTAATCACCCCTTTGCACAAATCTCAGCTTCTTGGCCTCTCTTTTTTTTTTTTTTATCTTATACCCTTGAAAAACCCTACCGGGACCTGCATGGCTGAACATGACTGGAGGAAAAAAACACAGACATGGAGATGGTCTCACTTCAAATTTATTAGCATGAACCTCAAGTAGGTTCTTAATGCTGTCTGGCCACTCTGATGTATCCCCCTGGTCCAGTTACTCTTCTGTTCTCTTAGACATCCTCTCTCTTCCCCAACCTTCAACATCTCCCTTTATCCTTACTAAGAGCTGATGACCTTGTTTCTGAGTCTCAAGGAGAATACAGAAGCAGTAAAGGAGAACTTCTAAAGATATCACCACCACCAACCCATAACCCACCTACCAGCCTCAAAGCCCATGCACTCTGCCTTCCTTCACGTTACTCTCCTCTTGTGTCCTTAAGAAATAATCCCAGGTAGTTTTCCTCTACTTATCTTAACCATCTTTTTCTTTCTCAAAAGAATTTCCCCATCAGTGTACAAATACGCCATCATTTCTCCCATGTGTAAAGGCTCCCTCTCCGACCACACTTGCCTGTCCAGCTGCCATTGCATTTTTCTGCTTCTCTTAACAGAAATGTCTTCAGAAGAGTAGCCACCTGCCTTTCTCTTGAAGCTACTCCAATCATGCATAAGCCCCTCACTCCACCAAAACTGATCTTTCCAAAGTCATCAGTGACTTCCATGTTGCTAAATCTAATGGTCAATTCTTGATCCTCATCTTGCTTGACCTATGAACAGCATTTGACAGGCTTGGTCACTCCACCCCACCTTGAAATGTTTTCTTCTCTTAGATTCCAGGACTCCCTGCTCTCCTGGTTCTCCTCCTCCACACCGACTGCTTGTTTTCAGTGTTCTTTGTTGGACTTCCCAGATCTCAGACCATGTGCTTCCTTTTTCTGTACTACCTGTCTTCACTTCCTTAATATTCTTATCCAGTCTTGTGTCTTAAACAGCATCTACATGCTGATGACTCCCAAGTCATCCTAAGTCCGGATCAAATCTCTCTTCTAAATTCTAGATTCACACATTCATTTGCCTATATACCTCTTTTCTTGGATGTCTAATAAGTATGTCAGACTTAACGGGTCCCCAGTCAATCAGCTCTCCCTGCTTTCTAAGTCTCTCCTCCTTCATTCTTCCAATTCTCACTTCCTGGCAACCCCATCTTTTCTGTTGCTCAAGCGAGAAACCTTAGACTCATCTTTGACTCTCCTCTCTTCTTCTGTGTCCCAAGTAGAATCCCACAGATCTGCCTGGCTCGACCTTCAAAACATAGCCATAGCCTGACCACTTCTCACTACTTCTCAGCTACCATCCTGGTCTAGACTCTCCTAGATCACAGGACTAGGTCTGATGATCTTGAATTGTCTGAACACCAAGGTTGCCTTTTCCCTTGTCTGAGGGATGTCTGGAAGCCGTATGCTTCCCCAAGTCTCACACTCAGATTTTACCATTTCAGATGCATCCTTATGCTGTTAGAACTGCCATCTCTACTTAGTTTTCTTTAAACATTTACATTTTCTGGGAGGAGTTACATATATATCACCATGTCCCTAAAGCATTTCAGGTAGATTATAAAAGTATGTAAAATACATTATAATATAGAAAAAAAAGTGAGACATTTAGGCAAAGGGAAGATAAGGATAGGAAAAAAAAATTCATATGATGCTGTAGGTGAGGTGAGTATACAAATGCATGCCCTGAGGTCCTTTACACTCGCTAAATGGGAATAACATGAAGTCTCTTCCTCTAAAATGTGCTTTAATGTCAGATTTCTTTTTGCTTGCTGGGCCCTCCCAAGGCATCATGAACACAGTGGCTCTTTGGGCCTGAGTGGGGGAGCGTTGTGTGGGGCAGGAAGGGCTCTGAAGCAATGCTGGTCAGGAAGCCCCTTCTCACCTGCGATGGGGTCCTAACCCAGACCCCAGGCATCTCCTGGTACCCTCCCCAATCTCCCACCTCCCAGCTCACCCCCACGTGATACATGGAGTACTTACCAAGACCCAAGCAAGAAACTCTGAGTCCTGATTTTCCAAGATTCCTAGAATAAAAATAAAGCAACACATGGTCATCATTTCTTCGGGTGAATTTTAACTCTGACTATTAAATCTACTTTTGATGGCGTTGATCTTGACTGGAATCTTGGCAGAGGTGGAGCCCCAGGGGCAGGTCTGTGGTTGGGGAAGAGGCTCTCTCGTCTCCATTTGGGCACTGGGGAGACCCCCAAATGTGCTTAGGCTCAGCAGAACAATGAAGTGGCCCCACAAAACACAGCTTTCCAGTCCTGAATGATCTTCTTTATTAAGTTGCTTCAAATTGTATTGTCTCTCTCCTTCTAGAATGTGAATTCCTTGAAGGCAAGATCTGTATCTTATTTACCAACCAGTCTTTCATTATTCATCATTATTCATCAACAAAGCCTGACCCAGTGGACCCTTAGTAAATATTTGTTGGCTGAATAACCAACAAACTGACTTCTAAAACATAATATTATTACCGATGGGGATTATTCAAAGAACAAATACAAAATAATCCTTTAGGCTATTTAAACTAAATTATATATATATTTTTTTTATAAAAGGCTACACAAAATTCCTACAAGAGGGTCAGAGAGTCCTTAAATGGCTCTTCTTTTCCTCCTCAACACCTTTGCTTTTCATCCTTAAAAGTCTACCAGAAAAAGGAAACATAGTTTCACTCTCTAAACAGGGAGAGAACTAGGGACTCTAATCCTCACTACACAGTGTCTGTCTGTGGAGACCCAGACCCAACCCATCTTCCTGTCACCCGCCTAGCAGCCATCAGAGAAGAAGTCGGATTCTCAGACAGAGGGTGCCTCACAGAACTTTGCAGGGCACCAATGCGAGGAGGTGAAGCTCACATTATGGAAACATGGTAGAAAAGTGCATTCCTTACTCTCTGATCAGATGCTTTTACAAGTGCACAACTTTTCCCCTGCTTCTACCCAAGTAAACCAGCACCAACTTATCCGACGGCGGCAGAACTCAGTCCTCCCAGGTTCTCTCTTGATTCTTCCTTTGGAGTTAGTAATCGGTGCTCTTGTTTTTGCCTGTTTCTTTTCTCTGCTTACTATTATCATCTATAAATGCCACCTAAGCAACACATGTCATTTCACAGCATCACCCAAGGTGCATCACACTGCAAACAGTTGAAAGACCCAGGTTTTTGTGTGGTTGTCACAACTAGCTAGGTGACCTTGAAGAAATCACTTCCTTCCTTGAGGGGTGCAATTTCTTCATAGTAAAATGGGATATTAATGTCGGTGCTCTTAGAGCAGGCAGATAGCTAGATATGAGCAGAGGAAGGGGGACATAGGCCAAATGGCAGGAATTGGGCAGAAAGGGGGGGCACGCGCCAAAAGCAGGAAACCCTACATCATGTAAACAACAGGGGTCCCTGGGCAGAGAAGGAAAAGCAGGAACCTCTGGGCTGATAAGTGGTCACACATTTTGGGGTGACAAGTGACCTGGAGGTGATAAAGAAAGGTGGGAAAAGGCAGGAATCTCCAGTGTCCGAGTATAACCTTTTGCTCATTATGCCCTCATTTCAATAAAATTAGCCTTTCAGAATAGAAGTACCCATCAAGTACCGAAGCCATGACACTTCTGATCCAGACTAAATAAGGACAAAAATCCCTCTTCTCTTCAGGAAGGTGGAGCTGGGATGAAAATCTGGGAATATGACCCCAAACCCTTCCCTCCCCAATGAATATTCTGCCTATTCATTTTTATGCTCTATGTAACCAACTTACCAAAAAAACTGAGGGCAGCTGCTCACCTGAGCCTGCCCGCTCTCCCCTTGAGAGTGTTCTACCTGTCCCTTAATAAATCCTCACGTTACTTTCTTGACCTCCACATCCCATCTCGGAATTCTTTCTACGACGGGACAAGAACCCAGTCACCCGCAACAGTGTTGTTCATCCAGCATCACTGTTGTGGGGCTGGAGCATGATAACGTATGTTAACGTGTTCACAGTAAACAAACGTAAAGCATAATTATTTTGGGTGCTTTCTGACCCTGCTCACCCTCTCACAGACACAGTGCTCAATTTTCCCTTATAAGTTAGTTACGTCCACCCGGAAGAAAACAATTACATAAAGGTGTATGTGAAAAATATTTTGAACTGCTCAATAGGAGAAAAATAATTTTACTTCTCCCATGAAAATAATTTGCATAAGGAATTGTTCTTTTGGTAGTTTCTCAGAAAACCACAGGATGTACAGCCAGAAGATCTTGCTTTGTGGTCTTAAGAGTCTACTGATCTTAAAGGATAAGAATTTAGAGCAACAACTGTACAGTAGGGAGAATTAAAAAAAGCCCTAGACCAAAACAAAGAAAAGCAAAGACATATATAAGTGAAGAACAGTCTTCCAGGTAGAGCTATTCCACACTGAGGAATCAGCGAAGATTTACTGACAGGTTACCATGTTCCAGGCAATGTGCAAGGTCATGGGGATACAGAGAGGAACAAGGCACAGTTCTCTGCCCTCTGCATTGTCTGAGGGACACAGGACAACAACCATGTAATCACAGTATGGTGGGCTATGTCCTCCCACGTAGGGGAGCCTATCTCAGGCTTGTATTTGCATAACTATGTGGGTGTCATGGGGGAAAAGACCTCGGTAAGGAGTTTCATGTAATTTGAGTATCTCTGAGCGACTCTGAGCACGACAGGGAGGAAGAACTTGGTGCAGCAAACTGTGCAGGGGAAGAAATCTTTCTAACAAGCTCAAATCGGGCAAGGTTATGTCACTGGGCACTTACTGAGCACCATCTCGGCACCCGAGGTGGGGAGACCTCACGACAGTGACCTAGGAAGACGATGATCACTCTGCTCTGGGTTTGGAAGGCCAAACGTCAGCAACTTGAGAATTGTCAACCAACACGAACGACGAAGTAGCAAGTACTCAGAGTGGTTCTTTCATTGCCATAGCTGCTTAAACACCCTGGCCAGCTTTTCTGGAGTGAAGTCTTAGAAGATTTTGCACTGTAAGAAACGTTAAATTACAGACAAGCATTGATACCGTGGTGCTACGTCCTGCACTGAGGCTTAGTGTTTTTATTTCCTTTAACTCTTCCTCTCAGTATTGTGCCCACTAGAGGGGTAGATGGTTACCAAAGTCAGCTGGTTGTTTTTACAGTGAGAGGTATTTTCTGTGCATGTGCCCCTTCCAGCCTCTAAGCCCACTGCCTTCACTTGTTCCAGGGGTAAGTCCCTTTGTGAGACCCCCACCAGGCAGAGCACTCTTGACACACACTGATGCTATGCGCTTTGTAGATGGACAAGATAGGAGAGAATAGCTCCCTCCAGTTCAGGGTGTGGAATTCTAACACAGTGTCCTTGATTCCCAATGGTGGACTTGCATCCAGCCCGTGGCCATGACTGCACAATACCAAGTGCGGGCGGGGTGACCGTTCAGCCACTCTGATCCATTTAAGCCCTGCTGGATAATAGAAGGCCAAATACTTGGCTCTTTTGATCTAATGAGTCCAAAATATATCATCCAAAAGCCTGTTTGTGTGGCTTTAACACTGAATATTGGCCAAATCTACACATCACGCTGGGCTGTGACAGATGTCCTGGAATCGTCTCTATCCCACTCATATGGAATTTTCATGACCATTTCATGACCTTGTGTGACATTGTATATCGAAACAACTTTACATCTTTCATTTTATTTCTGAATTCCTCAGCATGAGCACAAGTGAGGCTACATAAAAATTCTGTAAGCACATCAAGTTTCCAATCAGATTGAATTTCTTTCCCATTTGATTCAAAACAGATGCATTGCACTGGCTTCTCTATTTTATGTGTGTCAGATACACCAGAAGGCAGTCTCACTGTGTTCATTTTTAGTTTGTGCTCCTGTTCAACTCAAAATAAAAGTTCCTCTTTCCCAGGTGAACCTGAGCGGCTCTGCTGCTAATATTAGAAATGAATGACATCAACATGGGGGCGCGGGACACTTAGCTTTGTCAGTCAAATTTTGGAAATCCTAAATCTTAAGTCAAAGCTTTGGGAAAGAGTTACTGGAGAAGGAATATAACTTCTTGAGAGGTCACAGGTCGCATTTCTTCCTTGTGAAGGCAGGGTTGTCCTCTCAGTGGCTGATCTTGTTTTAAGACAGTGGTTCTTTCCATGGAAGAGGCATTAAACATAATTCCTAGTGGCATTTTGTGGAGTATCCATCATGTTCCTTTTATTTTAAGGCAATTGTAGAGTTGTGAGAACTGAAATCAAGTGTCACTTAGGCACAGTATTGAAAGCCATTTGATGCTCACAGGTCCTTTACAAATCCAAGATGCTAAAAGCAGATTAGCAGCCTAAGTGCATTGTTCTAAATTGCTTGTTTCTGAATATGTGTATCTTAGACATTATTCACAATTGTAAACTGCTTGGAAGAGAGGAATAGCTAGCTAAAATAGGTACCTTGCATTTGACCAAGAAAGAAGCATATAGAAGGGGACAAAACCCCTTATTTAAAGGTTGACACAACAGAGACAAACTGAAAGCATCTGTAAGGGACTCCGGTGGCCACAGCAGGCCGGCAGAAACAAGTTTGGTATGACCTGGTTTTCATGTGCTCAGCTCATTACATCATCTGCTGTGTCTGTCTAGCTGAACATCTTTCTGATCCTCTAAATCTCATTCTGCTGTGTGTGGTGCCTTACGTGGAAGCTACTAGTCAAATCTAGGGTATAGAATTAAAAAAAAAAATACATTTAACTGTTCTTAAAAAATCCAGAGCAGAAGGTATGTTCATTTGTCAGCCAGCTGGTTTTGATGGTTGTATGAGAACATGCATTTTGACAGCCAGGGAGGTGACTACCAATGGTAATAACATTTTCTCATGAGGGCATGGTTCATCACTGTTGATAGTGAACAATGATTCATTTGGAAACCACCAGGCACATAAATGATTTAGGCATGCATTTTGATGACAGACATTGATAAGTAGCATCATGAAACCTTCTTTCATTCTTTCCATTATCTAAGTAGCAGCAAAGCAGAATGAGATT